GCTGGTTCCACCTGAATGTATTTCTGTTTTTCATATTGTCTCTTCAATTTGCTGAGATCATTCTGAATTCTATTCCTACCTTCCAAAATACTTGCACAGTCACATCCAGCACTCAAGGAAGCTTTTTTCTCATCTAGGTCATTAATGAAATAGCTCCAGCACTGAAGACATACAAAACAGACTGAGAACAGGGCGTTGCAGCCTCTCACTCATTTCATCCTGCTTTGGCACTAAACGTTACACAAATTCTCTCTGAGGAGAGGCTTTCCATCGGTGTGTAGTGGATTCATGCAGATTATGCTTTCTTAGACTTCTTGGGAGAGATTGAGATGTCTAAAGAATTACTAAACTATGGGATCTGCTGTTGCCTGAGTGCTGTTGATCACTTTGTGAAGAACAATATAGAAAAGGCATTAAACTCACACCTTCTTTGCATCACATGTAGTTAGGTTTTTAATAATGTTGCCTGTAAAAGTAAGCCCGTGCTAATCCCTCTGCTCTCACAGCTAGATTGCCTCTGACAGTGCATCTAGCTAATTGCTGTGGTGTTTAGTCTGCAGCAGTTAGGCTTTGATCTAAGCACGCTCCTGTACTTTTCTCTTCATTACTAAAATGAAAGCCTTCCTAAAACTTTTCAGAAGGCTGATCATAGATGAAGTCACTCTGCTTTTCTGAACAGGGGGTGACAGTGAGTGAACTTGAGTGTGTGGTGTCCTGATTGTCTGCTTCCTTCCCAACCTTCATTGGAGACCAGGCCGTTGTGGGGCTCTCTTCACATCAAGGTGTTCCAGCAGTTTATTGGCCCCTGGGACTGACTGTGTATACTTACATCATTCCCAGTCTGTATCGCTGCTGATCTTCATACAAGATGAAAACTGTTCCCTGTTTTTCCTGTTAAATAAAAAGACAGAAAGTTCTTTTAATTATTCCAAAAATAGTTATAATGAATGTATTATACTGGGACAGTAAGTACATAGCCATAGCTAAGAAAGGCTAGGTTTGAATTCTGCATAACGGATTACTGCTCAGTGTAAGCAGATTATTGCTCTGACTTAATGTAGAGAATACATTAGGTTTATATAAATACAATACATACAGCAGAGTCTATTCAGTACCAAATACTTTTGTTCCAAAACAGTAAGAGATGGTCATAAGTATCTTTTATTTCCTTAGAGTTACTTTTATCAAGAGACAGGTTAACCTAAAAGCCTTATAGACACTTACACTGAAAGACAGAATATGTTTAGGTTTTCCTGTTCTTAAGAGTCTGTTTTTCACCTCAGATATACACGGGACATGAACTCTCATTAACCTTCTGCTCTGGTTCTTCACAGGCCTGATACAGGCGAGAGCAGCAAAACCTGCAGTTTATGCTGAGTTACCACATGTCACTGTGAGGTGCCATCCCTGGGGAGGATTTATTTGGAGAAAACACTTCAAGCTCTGCCTTTCCCAGTGAAGCCCTGTGCTCTAGGATCTGAAATCTATGTACTGTTCTGTCTGGTGTAACATCTCCTAAATGCTTTTACATTTCATTCTCTTACAATTGTGTTCAGAAGCCTTAAGCACTTCCTTCCCTAGCACAGGCTGCGTCTTCATTTCTTCATTCCTCGTTCTGTTCCCCATTATCACCTGACCTCGTGGCCTCTGAAGGTTTTATCTTCTCTCCCGGGTACAGAGGTGCGTGAAAGGGCCGTTTGATGGCCAAGTGCTCTCAGGAAAACCTGAGCACTGCTCCAGGTAACTGCAGATCTGCACAGCATTCTCTTGGTGGTTTCCCAGAGAGACCCTGTCTCACTCCCTATTGTATAACATAAACATGTTGTCATCCTCTTCATCCTTCACTGCTCCACCCTTCTGCTAAATCAAATGGATTCTCTGTTCTTCAAGACTTACATCCCAGCTGAAGTAAGCTGAGAGGCAAGTTGCAAGATAAGACTCATCAGCACAGGAACTGCTGAAGACCTTTATGGAATTCAGAGTTCATTAATTAGCATCACAAAAACAACTGAAAATAACACAATTCTGATTTATACCAATCCATCCTCGCAAAACTGCAGAGCAGCACCTCACTGTGTTTTTAACAGAACACTTAAACATTAGATTATGCTAAACACAACATTTCATCTTTACACTGTGCTGAGGGTTTTCACCATATTGGGATTTACACATGCAATTTCTGCAGAGTATCATATTTTCTAACCTTTCCGGCTCATACCTGGATGTCAAATCCAACCCCACGTGCTTTACACGTCTGGAGGAGAACACTGTAGTAGGTTTCTGCAAGGCTGGAGTGCCTCAGTTGGCTGCTTGCTGCAGCGCACCAGCTGCTCCTTGGAGAAGGCTAGGGAAAAATCACACAGGATTCTTTATTTTCATACCAGTTCAGATCAGAAAGCAACAATTCACTATTTAAAAGGCTTTTTCTCAGTGAACTCATGTAAGTGTGGAGTGAGACTCCCTTGGGAGGAATTCCTGTCCATCACAGTGTCTATTGGACACAGACATTTCCATGCAGCAAAATTCAGTCCTCACCTCATGCTGTTAGTCAAACCTGACATTCTACAGCAGGTCTACACAGTTTGATGTTTTCACAGTTTCATCAGTAACTGGGCCCTGTGAAGTCATTCTAAGTGGATTCTCTGAATCCACCCTGCCTTGTAGTAACATATGTTGTTCTGGAGTTGGCTCTTCCCAATAGCAGAAATTCCAAAGTGGATAATGAGTTGTATTTGAAACTGGGATTCTCCAAGACCAAGCATTCTCCCTTGGCATTAGAGAGTATGTAATTTTTCCACCAAGCCTTTGAGGAGACTCCAAGGAGCTACAGAGCTGATGCCAGGGAAGTTGACACTATGGATGAAAACCAGCACTGCGCTGGAGTTTAAACTCTCCTCAGTGCTCAGGACTAAAGAATAGAGATGTTCCCCTAAAGCAAGGCTTTCCTGTAATGTTCTTTTTAATACTGGCCTGTTCAGAGGGGGTATACTGCATGCTGAAGCGTGTAATTTACAGCATTTTCTTCCTAAAATGATACTTGTTTTGACATTGACTCATTTAAGTTGACATAGCTGAAATCCTTATCTAATATATCTCTGCCTGAAAATTAATCATGTTTATAATATTCTGAGAATTAATAACACCCATTGCTCAAGTCATTAACTTAAAAAAGGAGCTTCCAAAATCTGTTCTCTGCAGTAGGGGACCACAAATAAATGAATGCTTGATAAAATAATCCAAGCAGCAGTTTAACAAGCGTAAACTCGGCTGTGGCTGCAATAACACAGAACTATTGTTTAAGGGTTGGCATCAGGTTGATGAGGTGCTTATTTCAGCTACAAAGCATGCATACACATGCATAATGAACTGCAGGATGAATTATTAATGTGTTGCTTATTTAGCCTCATCTGTCTAGAAGATAATGTATCCTAACTATAATGAGTGATTGGGTTTGTACATAATTACAGTAGCAGCAGTATTTAGGAAATTTGTTCTTTCAAAGAAGCATTTCTAAAAATAAAACCATCACAGCAACTCGGGTGCTGCTCCGTTTCATCAAAATCAAACCTACCAGCACTGAGAAGATCTAATAAATTAAAAGGGACAGAATCATTATTAACATCATAATTTTACACAAAGCATTTTACTTAATCATTCATTACAGATCATGTGCTGTAAAAGCATTTGTCTCTTGGTTTGTTTGTTTCTTCTCAAGATATTTTCCTGAGTGTTTTTGTAGTTAACTCTTCAGGAGGTAAAACCCTCAGAAAGACAGAAAGGAGAAAAATCCAGGCTACAGTGACAATTCATGTTAATTCTGACAGAATTTTAATTAAAAAAAAGTTGCCACTTGATTACTTTTCCTTTCTAAAACTTGTACAACTGGGACTAATCAGATTTCATTTACTTCTCTCCTACTAAAAGTGGTTGCTTGACAAGAACAATAGATCAAGAGCTCATTAACCTCTGAATTACAGCACCATGACATTTTAGGAATGGGGCTAACATTCCTCATCCTCCTCCGTGAAAAAAATAGGGAGTTGTGAATCTTCTGTCAACATGTGTAAACTGGCATCTGTTTTGTATCTCGATGTGTATATACTTATACACTCCTTATTCTCTGATTTTTCACAGACTCATGGAATGGTTTGGGTTGGAATGGAACTTAAAGCTCATCCCGCTCCAGTAAGATTTGGGTTTAACTCAAGTGAGAGCTGGGAGGGCTTTGGGGGACCAAATCCTTCTGCAGATGTTGCCCTGACTGTTTTATTTACCCTGTTTTATGCATGTCTCACACAGCTGGGGCACAACTTCAGGTTCCAGTTTCTGATCTCCAATCAGCACTCATGTCCTGAAGGCTCAGCTTTCATCCTAGCTGCTTCTAAGCTACTCCTATGGTCAGGGCAGTGCTTTCACCTCCTCCCTTTTTCTTGCAACATAGAAATTACCGTATTTTTCACAACTTGAAAACTACCTGAAAGATATAGAAGTTAGTTACTACCACAAATCAATATTACTGAGTACAAAGGAGGAATAATCAGGTGCCCATAAGCATCGAAACCCTCTCCTGTAATTTCTGACATGGTGGTATCCTGAATTAACCATGTAAAAATCTAAAATTAGCAGTTTAAAGTCTGAAAAGAGCAGATTCAGCTCCTCTGGAGCAGTGATCTAGGACAGATTTTACCTTTTCAGTAGTTTACATTCATAGTCTTATTTGTAACCAAATTGCTGCTCACAGTTTCTGTCTCCTCCTGCTCAATACGTTGGCTTTCCATTTTCTTTGAACCGAGAGATACTTCAAAGCAGCTGGAGGTACAATCCAGGTTTCCATCTGTCACGTACAACATGAGCTGAGTCAAGGCCAGCTGGTCACTATAGCAAAGGTCAAGGTCTGTTGCCCACACCTAATCCAAGCACAGACAGGTGCATTAAAATAGAAGAAGAAGAAGGGTGAAACTCAGCAGTCGTATGAAGGAACATCTTGTGCCCCTGGCTGCATTGCTGGGGGCATGAGGAGCTGAAAAGTCCATGTTAGGGTAAGCACTGTTCAGCAACAACTCCAACATCACTGTGTTACCAGTGTTATTCTCATCCTAAACCCAAGCCACAGCACTGCAACAGCTACTAGGCAGAAAATGAAAAATCCCACCCAAAACCAGGCCAGCTACCCAGTTTTATCAATGATGAGAAAAAGCAGATACATGAGCTCAGCAGCTGTGAACTTTGCATCATGTAAAATTGCAATTATCTAAGCACGACACGCCACACCTGCATTTTTCAGCTGAAGAATAATCAGTGTTCAGTAAAGTCAGTTTGGAGTTATGAATAGGTATTTTGAGACAGAAAAAGGGGATGTACAAGAAATCTGGAGAGGTACTCTTTTACAAGGGCACGTAGTGACAGGCCAAGGGGAATGGCTTAAACCTGAAAGAGGATCCATGAGGCCAGTCCACACTGAGAGTGAAGCAGAAGGAAGTACCATGGATTGCTTCTCTGAGGTTCCAAATAACCTGTGCTTGGATGAACCCCATGAGTTTTCCCCACTTAAAAAATGCTTGTGCCTACTACTCCAATGAGAAATGTTAACACACACAACTGTCTGCCCTACAGTGGACCCCTTTAAAACAAATCTAGCAGTGAATGACTTGAATAAGCCTCTGAATGGTAAATGGCATAATTATAAGGATATTAAGAGGTCAGTCAGTCAAGGCCTCTTGGTAAACTGGAGTTAATTTTGGAATCATATGCACGTAGTAATGCCCTTTTTATAATGGTGAATAAATCACATCAGTAACAGTTGTTAATATCTAACTGCCAAGTATCTGTTGCTGTATTAAATATCCTATTTGTCAACTTAAACATTTCCTGCTGCATGGTATAAAATGCAAATCAGATGCTAATGGTTGCCTTTACTTAGTAATAGGGGAATGTTCCCCAATTATAATGCTTAATTTTCTTCAATAATTTATTCTTTATCATCACTTCTGCAAGACAGGAAGGAACTTTCCTATCAATTTGTACTTCTCCAGTCTGTGCTACCCTTCCAATGAGCTGAATAATTATAAACTATACATACTGTAGAAGCTTTACACTGATTTCCATAAATACTATGGACAAATCAGTCACAGCCAAGGTGTCTTGAACCTTGTTTGAGTCGGAGTTTAGACTCTCAACTTTAGTTATGCCTTAGAAAGAGGTGGCAGAGCCACATGAGGGGACCAGTGACTGTTGAAAGTCTTGGATACCCAAGGACTGTTCGCTAGCTCCAGGTGAACTGATGGCTCTTAATCCAGATCTTGATATTATACCTGCATTGTTCTGACCTCAGAATCTACACCAGCATTATCTGGAAGCTTTGTTGATGCATGAATAAAGGACGCCAAGTGTGACTGAAGCTGGAACATAAAATGGCTGAGGTGGAAAAAACCACATTAGTTAAGCAAAGATGTCCCTGTTACTGGGTAACTACACAAGCCATGTTCTGGCAGCATTGAGAATGGGTTGAGCATTTAACAGCAGATAAAGCATTCAGAAATGCAGCCTAGCAAAGGGAAACAGCCATCAGCACGAGACAAGTTCATCCCACTCTGCTAGAGACTCAGACAAGCCATACCAAGCATGAAATAGCATGTGTGTTCTACAAGAGTTACTCCACAAACCCCATGTTGTAACTGAAGTACATACAAGTGACATTGTTTTCATTTCAGGTGTAGAAGAGACCCATTACTTACTTGTGTGACAAGTTTCACAGAATCTAAACAAATCCCCAACATGCTAACCTGGCTCTAACACCCTGCCAGCACCTTCCCAGCCACTGCTTTTGGAAGATAACAGAATCATTCCTGGATCCCACAGCACCAGGGGATGACTCCAGCCTTACCTCTGCCCAAGGAAGGGGCTATAACATGAGGAAGAGGAGAAAAAGCTTTTAGCAGAGCAACTTTCATGCCAGAAATCCTGAGGCCAAACACATGCCAGTTCAAGGAGTTTCTGTTCACTTTCAGGGTGTGTCAACTTGTTTCAGACATGGCTTCATCATCTCAGACCAACGACCCACACACCATTGGCTTCAAAATCAAGGGCTCAAATGTACAGGGTGGGCTGATGCCCTACCATGTAATGAAGGCAGGTATCCATCATCCCCTCCCCGGCCCGTAACTCTTCAATGTCCAGAAGGAGAGCTCTGAACACCTGCAGCTTCAGTCACAGTTAACGTTCTACATAAAGTCATCATATTTTTTGCTTTTTCTAAAGAGAAGGTGCAGATCTGCACAAGCACAGGGGGAGGAAGGCAAATGTGGCTGGAAACCACCTGTCCACCTCCTTTCATTCTGGGCCTGAGGCTGAACCACCCCTACTGCAAGTGAACGCAGCCAAATGGTCATTCCTGTGTGCCAGCTGGGATCACCCCCAAGGATTCTTTTCCTGGCTCGGGACTGTTGGAGAACTCTGTAGTGTGGCCATGTCCCTTTCTGCCCTGGCTGTGTCCCAGAACATCCCTATTGTGGAGAGAAAGGAAGAAGAATCAGATGGCTTAAGATTCCAGCTTTATCCTAGCAGGGGATTCCCTTTTGACATGGAAATCCAGAAATGGGAAAGACACAGGACCTGGGCAATGGCTCTAACTTCATTTTCAGATCATGTTTTCCCATTTTATGAGTTCAAATGCAGGCTGGATCATTAGTAACTACTTGACTGAATTCTTCAGTGGAACAATGCCTAAGGCCTATTCCAGTTCCTGAAGACGAGTGCTCTTTCCAGAACTATAGCAATAGGCAACATTTGTGGTAATTCTGAGCCAGGATGGAAGTTGAGCAGGATCAAGTCTGGCTGGTGGAGCCGTTAAAGACAACCGCTATGGACCTGCTTGTAGTGCTCTTACTCTGGAGGTGGGCAGTGGACATCTGTGTGCTGCCTCTGTCTGGCACCTTTCCCCAATCATGTATCAATACGTATTCCCAAATCGAGAAGGGGTTGCTTGTTTCATCATCCATTAGATTGCAACAGGTTTTCCTTTGAATTAATAGAAATTGGGTGTTAAAAGCTTCTAGAATGTCTTGAAGATCTGAGCTGTGGTGTTGTGGGCTTGGGGTTCTGTTTGGTTTAATGTTATGAATCTATTTCCATAGTCTATAAAGCAATGTCTGTGGAGGTCAGGCAGTTAGTAACAGAGAATTATCATCTCCTCCAGTAAATCAGGAGCTGTTAGAAGAAGGCCTGTGCAAAGGGCAAGTAAAGATAAAGAATGATACAGTCATACAGATTGACAAATATCTATTCCTTGAGTCCATCCTCACTTTCTGCGGGTATACAATAAGGGCATTTATGCAGTTGTAGGTATTCACAACCATAGGTGTCACATCCTGATAGGATTGACTGGCAAACGAGCATAACCTGAGAGCTTTCACCTGAGATTTGGGGACTTTTCAGGACAGTTGTGTTCAGAAACTGAACAGAGCTCACTTGTGAAGTGTAAAACTGATACCCGATTTTAAAACAACAAATGGAAGCTCAAAAGTTAAAGTTAATCAGATCTGGGGGTTTATGACAACTTATGATTTTAAAAAAAATGAAAATTAGAGGCAGTAGTTAAAATTTTAAATAGTTTTTAGAGTGGTTTTAGGATGAACTAAGCTAAGCACAGATTAGACTTTCCAGAATCCCACCACTGGAAAAAAAATAGTTAGAAATACACATCCTGCAGGACTTCCTGCCTGTTTGTCCAAGGAAACACCGTGAAGTCTGAGATCACTCCCTTCTGCACTGGCTGCCAGGAGACGCTCTCCTTCAGCATGCACAGCTTAAGAGCCCTCATGGTACAGACATCTCTGTAGTTTCACAGCTGTAGTGTAATTCTTCACCACTGCCAGAAAAACGCTTCAGCTTTAAAACATAAACTTAAGAAGGGAAATAGTCAGTTCTTAAAGTTACTAAATTACAGCTTTTAATTCTCCAGTTTAGCTGTTTGATCTACATCTAGTGTCCATGTCAGTGTTCCTGTAAAAAGCACACCTGCTATTTTTAAAGAAGAGGCTGAATGACACTAAAAATGTCAATTAGTAAAATATTAAGGCAACTCGGGCGTTGGAAAGGGAATTTCCTTTAGGAGTTTAAAACCGAATTGATCATTTCGGCAGGGATCGCAGACAGGATCTTATCCGGCTGCCATCTGGTGGCGGCTGCTGGGATGGGCTGGTGCTGACCCCAAAGCTTACATCTTAGGGCCCTAGAACTGACCCTAACCTCTGAGAATACCCCACCTAAACCTTCCCAGCGCTGCAGTTCTCCTGACAGTATGTTCTGCCTCATCGTCTCCTCTGCATTCTGAACAACTGAATCCAGTGCCGCTCAGTACTGCAGAGGCTGTGTTAAGCTCTCAGACTGATGAAAAAGGTGACTTATGACCCTGCTTCTCCGAATTATCTCTCCACAGATCTATGGATGTAAGTTTATGCGTTCAAGGAATGGACTCAATTAAATGGACTTATCTGGGTGTAGCTCCTTGACAAGTTGGGATCTAAGCAGCACACAGTCAATACTGTGCAAGTATTCACTTGAGAGGGTCAAGGCCTTGCTCTTAAAGATCAGTCCTGGAAAACACAGTGGGAATCAGAAGCAGTTCAGTCCAAATCATGCACCTAATTCTCCTCCTCCACTTTTTCCCCCCCAAGACATAGAAAACAGCATGTCTCCATCTCCCTTTCCCTCAGGAACAAATCACAGATGCTTATAAGAGAGACAGAAACAGATTTCTGTGGCAAACAGAGCATGTGTCATGTTCCAGCTTTCCGTGCCCCTCAGCTCGCTGCCAGGGTGCAGGTCACAGATCACACCACTGATGCACACTCCTGTGGTACCTTTGCCATGCTCAGCCCCATGCCACGCTCCACGGGGAGCACAGTGCAGAGTGATGCTGTCAGCTGCAGGCTCTGCCTTGCACCCTCCTCAGATAACCCAACACTGCAACTCCCGTCTTAGCCTCGGAGTTAGACATGGTATCAAGAATGAAATGTAGGAAAGGAAGTACAGCGTGCAGCAGAGCACAGGGCAGGCAGGTGTGGAGACTATCAGACAGGGGTTAGATCCTCCTACAGGCACTGTCCTCAATGCTGTTGTTTGCAAACTGCAACCTTACCCAGTTCTACCATAATTTAAGGAAGAGTTATATGTAGCTAGAAGATGGTACGATCTGTAGAGGTCTCTGAATTACTTGTATGTAGAAGCAGTGGCAAACTGGCCAGCTAGGACTGCACATGCAGTGACAGACTGACAAGCTCCTGTGTGAGGATGAGGGAAAGGAAGCCGGGAGAGAGTTGGGTACCAAGTAGAAGCATAAAGAAGGCCCAACGTAAATATGAGGGAGCATGTCTCACATCTGAAAGGTTGCAGCATCACCCACAGCTCCTCCAGGCCTGAGGACAGCATCGCTCTTGTTACCTTTTGGTCAGTGTAGAACTGCACGAGAGTAAAGATATTGCGGTGTCTGTGACGGGCACAAAGCTGTCCACAGTGACCGAGGTGGAGATTACTTTCTCATTTCTGCATTCACCCATTTGTGTGTTTGACAGACACACATTGTTCCTCATCCATCACACAGTCTCCTTGCTGCTAGTGCTCCAAAAGAACACAGCAATATAACAGAAGTACTTCCAGGAATTATGTCTGAGCCTTTCAGCTACTGCATTTAAGTGGGCACTTCTGAAATCAGGGAGCCAATGTTCTGAGAGTCTAATAGGATTTCTTGTTTGCCAAAAAAATAGTGCTTTCAGAAACACAATGTTTTGTGTAATCTCCCTCTCACAAGACAGATGGCATCATTAATTGCCTCTACATCTAGTTAAATTTAAAAACCTGTGCTTAAATAATGTTAAAGTTGTGGTACATGCTGACAAACATAGGAGATATTAAGGTAGAATCAATTGGGGAAGGGAAGAAAACCAAGGCAGAACAGACAGAAATAATAGTAAGAGGCCACAAGAAACACTGACTGATTTAATGTGTCCTTGTTCATGCCAGGAAATCTGACCGCCTTCATAATGTAGGAAATATTTCTGCATTTGGGTGAAGTCCTGGCTTGAGTGAAGCCATTTGCAAAACTCCCATTGACTTCCACAGGGAAGAATGTCATCCCTTCATCCTTGTAAAGCAACTTTACATCAAGTTGTCCAGTGTGGCTTATCCACAGGCCTCATCACAATGCCTGTGTAAATGCATTTTGGGAGTCAAATGTAACCATGATCTGCATTTCAAAGCTAACATTATTCATGTTTACCACAGTCACCCTACAGTGGTATCAGTTACCAAACCCCTGATTTTAAGCCTCCTCTGAGCTTAAAATGGAATATAATTATCACAGCACTGCCAAAGAGCCAGCTTTGCCAATAGATACCATATGCTAACTCTCTGGTTTTAAACACAAGCCCTGTGTTTAAAGCCTTTTCTCACACCACACAAGCTCTGATTTTCAGACAATGAAGAGAAATGGACACCCAAACGGATTCAAGTGTCTTCTGAAAGTCCACCTCTTCTACGTAGCCTACCCCAGGAAATACAGACACGTTCCCTTTTACAGTTACTTCTTAAACAGTGCAGGTCCTAATTGAAAAGTGTAGAAGAAAACAAAAGAAAAGAGCAAAAAACAAGGAGATGCCTTGGTAATACAAGAAATAATTGAGACTTGATGCTGAGATCTTGAATTAGCACCAGTATCCACACAGTGTATTTGAATTTGCGTACAGGAAGCACAACAGTACTATTCACCACTGACAATGCGGGGTTTATGTTCTTTAAAAATGATCTCATTTTCTTTAGGCTTCAAGCACAAGGCTGCTACCAGAACACTGGAAGCTCAGTTTCCTCATCCAGATTTTACTTCATTTTGTGTCATTTTAGTCAGGCATTATCCCTTAGATTTGTCCACCTGCCATAATATTCAATCCTATTGGCGAATATCAACCAAATTTGGAAGAAAGTGTAATTATTAAACATATGAAACTCCCATGAGATTTCTCAAGTAAGTGGACAGAGACCTTACTAGTGACTTACAACAGGAAAGGCTGCAGGGGGAGCTCAGCCGGAGCACACATGGGAACTGGATTGAAGGCACAACTCTATAGGAAGCCTGGCTTCAGTGGTTTTAAGTTCCTGGAAGTGTTATCTTTAAACTGGATACAATATACAGCAGTGCCCTTCTTTTGCTTTTCACAGTGACTGGTAAGGGGACTGCTTTCCTTTACCTCCCTCTGCTTACATTAACTGCTATGATGTAAACCAAACTGTTCATCACCACCATCCTATTTGCTATAAGGAATTGGCAATATCCCCTCTTCCTTAGATTCATCCTCAAACCTCAGCTCCACATTCTAACAGACACCGGTTTACTCCACAGAGAACAATAATCCCTGTGATTATTTTTACAGAGCAAAATACAAGAGATACAGAACATTGAAACTAAAATCCTCTAAACATCTTAGCCATAAGACCATCATCTGTAATTACCAGCTTAATGCAGGAGGCACTTATTTTGGGGGGGGGGGGGGGGTG